TGTGTGTGTGTGTGTGTGTGTGTGTGCGCGCGCGCGCGCGCGTGTGTGTGTTAGAAACGGTGGAGCTCGGTTCACTATGCTTGAACGGTTACTTTACTTTGGAGAATCACACATCTTTACAAATAATCACTCTCGTTTTCATCTTTTGTGAAGTGAAACATCTCTTTGCTCCTTCCTGTTCCTGATAAAAACTTCGGAGGGATCTCTTTTGGTTTTGTAGTCACACTTTGAGTTCTTTTTCGGTTTCCTCGAGATAGAGAAAGGTTTCCTCGGGGCAGAGGAAGAGAAGTGTAACGAGGAGCAGTTCCTTGTGGCAGAAGAAAGAAGAAGGAAGAAGAAGAAGATTGTTCTCCCTAGGCTTCTTCTTGGTGGCTTGTGGCAGAAGAGAAATTGAATTTATTTCTCTTGTAAGTTTGTCTATTTCGGCATATCTTGGTGTATCTCGGTATAGAGAGAGAAGAACTGAGAGAGAAGAAGATAGAGATCAATGAAGAGTGAGAGATTCCTCTTGTCTTGTAAGTCGAGATTGTGTAAATTCCTCAAATAGTAAAATCATCTGCAACTCTGTAGACGTAGAAAATTTGTCGAACCACCTAAATTTGTGTGTTTTGTCATGTCGCCGACCGTTCTCTTATTTGATTTATATATATATATATATATATTATCAACTGGTATATTAGATCTCGTAATACACACACATGTGTGATTAGTTAATCTTCGATATATATGTTTAGGGAGTAGTGTCATTCAGAAAATTGGTGCGTGAGTGTGTGTGTGAGAGAGAGAGTATCGAAAAGATTAATGAGCAACATTTTATGTATGTGCAGGCCGTGTAAATTTTTTAATATTTTTATTTAAAAATAAGAACAATTAATATTTACAAGATTATTTTGTTATTCACAGAAAATATCTTGTACTTCTTACGAAGCACTGCTGCATTATCTATTTTTCTCCCAACAAGCCGGTCCAGCGCGTCAGCCAAGGTCCAAGTGCCACGTGATTACTCGCGACAGGTAAAAAATCTCCGACGAAGGCCATTCCAATTCATCTTCCGAGAAGAAGGAAAAAAAAAAAAATATATTTAGATATATATATATATAATAAAAATAAAATAATTTTATTTTTTGAGTTGATATCTGATACCCACGTGTCCATACAATAAGTCAATATCCGCCGTCCGAATAAGTATCTAACCATATTGTAAAAAACAATTCACGCAAGCGAGACGTGCGACATCTGTCCCGGGCAAATACTGTAGCTTGCTGGATTGGAGTACACGTGTCCCGAACTTTTAAGAAGGGAGATTCGCTTCGACAGATGGACGGTGATGATCGCGGAAAAAATGATGTCGGGCAGTAAAGTTGCTGCGTAAAATTGCCCGAGCTACCCGCACTGCCCGAGACTGCTCACTGCTTGTTGGTGGCCGAAGTAGCCTTTTTTAATGGCGCAGCAGCGGCATTTCGTGGAAAATCTAGTGGGCGCGACCGATGGCCGAGATTTGCTTAGAAATCACGGGGATAGAGGCTACAGCAGCGGCGACTGCAACGACGATGAAGCCATGCGAGAAGGACACTCAGGCAGCGAGGCGGCGGAGGATGCAGATCCGAAGGTTGAGATGCATCGCCGGCGTGGAATCCATGGCTAGACCAGTAGATCTTAACCGCAAGAGGCAGAGGCCTGACATCTCCGTAGTTCCAACGGTTGAATCCTTCAAAAAAGACTCCGATGAGGAGGAGGAGGCTGCATCGGTGCGGTCGCCGAGGTACGGCATGACTTCGGTGTGCGGCTTGCGCAGAGAGATGGAAGACGCGGTATCCATCTGGCCGGATTACCTCAAAGCATGTGGAGGAAAGCATAGTTTCTTCGGCGTTTTCGATGGCCACGGCTGCTCACATGTAAGCTTGGGATTAAGCCAAGTATTTTTTTGAAATCAAGTTAGATACAGGCTCGATCTGATCGTTTGAGGTTGTGATTATTGTTTTTTTATTAGGTGGCTGCGTGGTGCAAGGATCGGATGCACGAGATGGTGGAGGAAGAAGTAGAGAAGTTGGAATCGGGTATGCCGCCTTCACCAACGGAGTGGAAAAAAGTGATGGATCGAAGTTTCGCGCGGATGGATGAGGAGGTCGTGATTTGGGGAGGAGCTGCCGGCGAGCGACGGAATACTACCTGCCGGTGCGAGCTACAGACGCCGAAGTGTGAACACGTCGGATCCACCGCTGTTGTCGCAGTTGTGGCGCCGGAGCAAATCGTTGTTGCTAACTGCGGCGATTCAAGGGCGGTTCTTTGCCGGAGAGGCGCCACTGTGCCGCTCTCCATCGACCACAAGGTAGATTCTATAACTTTGCTTATAATTCTATGAGATTAGATAATCATCTCCTGTGTCTACCAAGTTCCAAACTAACGAATTTGGTTTTGAACCATTCACAGCCCGACAGACCTGATGAGTTGCAGCGGATTCAGGCGGCCGGCGGTCGGGTTATCTTCTGGGACGGGCCACGCGTTCAAGGTGTTCTTGCGATGTCACGTGCGATTGGTAAGCTTCTTTTTTAGCAATTATATTGGTTCAAAATTTTAAGCTTTGTTTGGTTTTTATGGAATTAAAGGAAGCCATAATTGCAAAAAAATAAATAAATAAATTTTACTCGAATCATCCATGAACATGAATCGATTTATATCGATCAACTCTTTATGTAATTCCAATTCGTTTCCAGCTGAAACTTAAAGCTTTTTTCATGTTGACACGAGCATTTACTCCATTATTTTACCTGCACATTGATAAGAATATTTTTTATTTAAAAAAAATTAATTTTGGGGCAGTTTCATACATTCCTCAAAATAAATTATTGTCGGTGATTTACATACATTTCTAATGTCTAAAATCTAATACTTACGTAAATATAACTCAAATTTAAATACAACAAATTTCTTTAGCTGCCATTTCATTATTTCATTAAAAATTAAGTGAAAGGCTATTGTCATGTTCTAATCATCATTATAATCTGTTTTAATTATTCCTTAAAATGTTAACAAATTTGTGAGAACACTGACTAGAAACTCTTAACATCATTGGTATGATGTTAATTATCTTCATATTACATTCATTCAGAAGCTTTAATGAGAAATTCTAGCATTTTTATTAAAGCTTTTTCAGCATAATTCAAAATTAATTAAACGGTCTTGTCGTAATTTCGTAACAGGGGATGGTTATCTGAAGCCGTACGTGACGGCGGAGCCGGAGGTGACGGTGACGGAGAGGAAGGAGGAGGACGAGTTTCTGATTCTGGCGAGTGACGGCCTGTGGGACGTGGTGACGAACGTGACGGCGTGCGAGATCGTTAGGATGTGTCTGCGGAGGAGCGGGAGGGGTGAGGTTAAGGGTGACGTGTCGGCCGAGACTTCCGATAAGGCTTGCTCGGACGCCGCGACCTTGTTAACGAAGCTGGCGCTGGCGAGGGGAAGCGCGGATAACGTTACCGTCGTGATTGTGGATCTGAGAAGGAAACTATAGTATTGAAAGATAGAACTAAGAAAATCATCAATATAAGTTTTGGTAAAGATGAGCTTTAGATTGCTTTGAGATCTGTGCTATATAAAATTCTTGCATGACACTAATCATAAAGCAAATCTAATGATTGTAAGGGCGTCTCACAAAGTGAGTGGGCTAATCCTAAGGATAATGCAAGTAAAGAAAGAACCAATGTGGTGGGAGTCTGAGATGAAGTGTATTTTATTTTATAATGACATGCATATAGCAATGAGTGCTTGAAATGTGGAGAGTATTATGTATGTCCTTTGTCTGGATGACAGTTTGGCGTGTGATCATGTCATGTCTACTTTGGTGGACGTAATATTTTTTCGAAAAGATGAGAATATATGAATTTGATGTAAATAGAATATAATCGCAAGATGTAGATATGGTGTTTATATATTATTTTTGGTGCACACCCTCTTCCTAAGTGAACATCATTCGTGACATTTTTTTATGACAATTTCTCATTTATAAAGAGACTGTTTAAGGGGGGTGATACAATTAGGGATTTAAGCGAGCCAATTTGGTTTGTGAGCTTGTTTAGGCTTCTCAAATAAGTGGCTCATAAATTAAGATCGATGAGCGAACAACCAAAGTACAAACCATCTTCAACTCTACTTAGCTCTCCGATCGGATGGATTAAAAAAAATACCAAACTTAAAATATAATAAAATTTAAAAAAATTTTCATTTAAATTATTAATAATATTTAATAATTGATATTTAATATTTAATATCAAGTAATTTTTTATTATTTTTGTTTAGGGTTTAATTATAACATTATTTCAACTCGATTCTTTTAAACAAGCTAGGTTTAAACTTGTTGAATTAAGTTTGCTATTGACTTCAAATTAAGATCAAGCTATATATATATATATATATATATTAATAAAAAGGAAAACAGAAAAATACTTCCATAGGACCAAAAATTGGATTCCTACCCCACCAAAAATAGAAGGAAGAAAATATTTGAAGATATCAGCGAAGCAATGCTTATATGGTAGTCATCCTAGTTGCACTCCCAAGCATACAAGGGTAAACATTTCAAATGTTTCCTCATAGCCTATATCAATCCAAATTCTCCAGAACAGTTAAAAGCTTCCAGAGCAAACCAATGCAACTGGATTTGTGCCAGCATAGTATAAGTTTGTAATGAACTAATTCGACCTCAATCAAAAATGTATGAAGAAGATGATCCGGAAAATTCATCCATATTCCAACCAGTTGAACTCATGAAACCAAGAAATGCTAATTCCATCCAGTATACAACAAACAGAGCATCCAGTGTGTGTGACGAAGCTGACCACATAAATTCTTAACTAATCCAAAGCTGTCTAACTCAAGTAATCATATAAATGCTAGTTATCCAAGATGAAGCTATCCTATACAGAAAATAAAAAAGAAACAGTAGCAAGTGGAAATTTATATGGAAGTAAAGAAAAGGTGTAATAAAGGACAACTTTCAAACAGAACCACATATTGGTATCCAAATAAAACTTTCCCTTGGATTAGTCAAGGTAATGATGTTGCTAAACACTACTAGCTTTAGCAAAATAAGATAATATATAAGCCATAGTCACACTAGAAAAGATATTATATATATAAGGCACAGTCTATATATATATCTTAATAAAAATGAATGATCGGAGGCTATTATAGGAGCCTCCAACCACCCCTAATGTGTCTAACAATTCGAGTACCACCTCTTGAAGACCAACTATGCCAGAGAGGATTCAAACCCTCGACCTGAGGGGGTCTTATACCGTGGATTACAACCGACTGGCCGTGGTATTATCTTGTTGTGTTTTTCATGTTATTATCTTGCTATTTTTTATTACATCTATTTATGAGTGGTGGATATTTCTTTTAAACTATAATTTAGGTTTTTCATATTGCAATTGACACATCTTTTAAGAGAAGAATTTATTACGGGACATTAGACTCTGTAAAGGGGAAGGACTTTCCGCCTAAATAGGAGAATGTTTTAACATTTTTTTTAAGAGAAGAAATTTAAACCAACAAGAGAAGGAGAAAGCATAGGCTTTCTCCTCATCTATAGAGGGTATTCATATATGAAAAAAAATGCTTGATGTATCAGACTATTTGGGAAATAAAAATTCCTTCAAAATTAATATATCGATCCTTATAACTTGGAAAAATTTTCTCAAAGCATCATCTAGCTTAATAGACAACTATATCTTCTGGCGTTATAATTTAAGATGAAAGATAATCACTCATATGTAATGCTAAAATCAATCTCAAAATTTTCAATACGTGTGTGCATGCATGTCTTATGTCAAGAAGACAAAAGGTACACTTGAAAAGAAGAAATGATCTTAATATATTAAAATTTAAGTGAAAATACGACACTCATTAGGACGCAATGAAGAAGGATTATGTAGCCAATCCCACTTGATGGGATGAAGACATTGTTGTTGTTGTGTGCGCATGCTTACGTGTGTGGCTATGAGCACCCCATGTGCACACATGTATAATGGGACCATGGACTTGCATGTTTGCCAGCACGTGGGTGTTTGTGATTTGTACAAATGATAAAACAAATGGATTCATTGCCTAATCACATAAAAAATGCTATAATTTTTATTTATCTATGATTTTTTTTTTTTCTGATTAGAATATTTGCGAAAGAAATATCTCAATATTATGTGAACTCTTGCGCATTTGTATCCAAATAGATTGCAAATTACAAATTGTGCACAATATGAATTGCTCATTCAGTCACTCTCAATCATTTTATTAGATTTTTTTTTTATCATGTCGTGATTTTAATAGTCTCAAAATTTGATGATCTTATGTTTGTCAGATTAGTCTGTTTGAGTTGCACATTTACAGTAGTCTCAGGTCATTCCTTTAACACACACACACACACATATGCATAGGCAAATGCAGCTAACTAAATATGATTTTGTATAGAAATTCATAATAATATAAACTTCAATAATTTGGAGATTTTCAGTACTGTGATTTTATTAATCACAACTATCTCAAAATATTGTAAAATATAAATTACCTAATTTAAATCTTTTGGAGTTATTATTATTATATTACCATATTAAATTTTTTATTACTCAATATTTATTAGAGATCCATGTTATTGATTATTGTGATACATTTTTTTAATTGGGAAAGATATCATTCATTGTTCTACTTTCCTTATAATGATATTCTCTTTCCCATATATAGATGAGAGAATATACCCCCATTATTGAGGAATGTTAAGAGTTCTTATAATTATTATATTACTATAATATAATATTATTGCATGTGATTAGTATTTATTATGAATTTTTATTATTTACTATTATATTATATTCTCATTATAAAATATATTCTCCTTTACCAAGTTTCCTTGTTGCTCCATTCTTCCATCTTTATAAAAGCATGTTTGTAGTGGCAATTATTAATCAAAGAAAGATATAGCCTTTTATGATTCTAAAGACATTTGAAATTGCACAATTTTAAGTCTTGAAATTTTTGTATTATTTTGTATATGCATTCTATTTATTATTCATATTGTATTAATCATAATTCTAATCCTTATTAACAAAAAAAATTTATTTTGCAAATCGACTTGATCTTTTGATAAATTATTTTCTTCAATATTATCTATAAATTTGTTGCATCTGTTTTTTGCATCATGCACATTAAAGATCCTATCTTATGGAAGATTAATTTAGATGCACATTTATTGGTTTTAATCAATTGAAAATGTGCATGAACCATTAGTGTTGAGGGACTTGATCAAGTTGTGGGACAAAGAGGAAGCCACACTTCCATGTATGGGACAAGGGGGAATACTACCCTCCATGATCAAATGCTTTGTTGGTTGATGTTCTAGCATGTAAGGCCCTCTTGTAATTTTAGGACTTCTAGCATTTCACATCTTCTATCATCTTCTATCGATTTATATGAGGATATATATATCCATATATATAAAGCATTTTACTTTTAATATTTGTTAGTTGTGATATATAATAAATATTTGAGTGTCATCCATGTAAATATGACAGTTTAAATGCTATATATGTAGATACATAATAATTTTTTAGTATGACTGTAAATATTCTTATATATATATATATATATACATCCTCGTGGTGAATCATGAACCAACAAAGCATTTGATGGAGAGCACTGCTCCCACTTATCCCATGAGGGCTTCCTCTTTGTCCCACAACTCAATCAACTCCCTCAACACCAATGGTTTGTGCCTATTCTCAATTGTATTAAACCCAACAAACGTGCATTTTGATTGATCCAAGATAAGATATACGGTGTTCGTTGCGATTCAAAAAACGGATACAACAAACTATGAAGCATTTAGATCAGCAATCATGGTAGAAAATTATATGGATAATACTGAAGAAAATAATTTATCAACAGAGGTCGATCTGCAAGATCAAGGAGCACTTGATGGATCATTTCTATGAGAATTTATTTCTATGTTGGAGCTTTTATGAGAATATCATCGATAAGAACAACTCCATGTCTCTGAACTGAACATGCACACATTACCTACCTTACGATCTATTAACTTATGTTACAGTATCCATTGAAAGAACCTAGTTTCAAATATCCTCTAAAATAAAACAGCAAAAAACATGATCACTATATCAACTATTCAACAAATCCTATGAAGAAAAAAAGAGTTGATAGAATCAGTCACTCCTACTTTACAATCAATTTAAAAAAAAAAATTATGGAAAAGATTGCACAAAATTTGCTTCACAAAATGACTCTGCCGTTGACCTCAAAGATTTTTTGGAATTAGAACAAAAAGAAGATGGAAGCGTCTATTTCTGGCATATTAGGATTCTCCTGCTAGCATAAGGACCTTCGGATGTGTCACGTTGGTCTGATCTCCATCCCATAGCCTTTGTGATTGTTTGAATCTTATTAACTATGCCTTTAGAATCGCGAATATATACACGCCCACCGGGTCTTAGAATTCGGTCCATTTCTAATAAGATGGAAGTGATGTTACACCTGCAAAAGCCACATAAGAAGGTTAAATTTTGAAGCCTGAAATTTCCTGATACAAACAAGATAATGAAACGCAACATAATGAACAGATGGGATATGAAATTTGACATCTTTTTTAATTTTACTTCAAGAATGTGCTGTTCAATCTAAAGTCATGAGTATAGTTTTGCGAATTTTATTGTATTTTAGCTGCACTGGTTTTTTTCTCTATAAAGAGATGAGTTCCGGCTTTATGTAAAACATTGGAGAAATTAGAGTATTTTTCATAATCAGATCATAACAAAACTTTTCACAAAAGAAATAAGATATAACCATCAATTAGAATAAATTTTTGTGTTGGTCTTTTTTTTTTTTCTAGGGATGTTTACCTGCATCGAAATATTGCTATTTACAGAACTAGTACCAGCGTCATTTTTTTGACCTATTGAACCGATGCTTTTAAGCGTTATATGATCAAACCATTGCAAATTTCATGAAAATGAAAAATATGAGTTGAGATTTTATCATGAATTTTGGTATTTAAGCGAGAATTTTAAAATTGGATGAAAAGGGGATAGTTTTATAAATTGCTAAATTTTCAGTACTATTTATGTAATTGTCCCTTTTTTTCTATTCTACCCTCTTTTTCGCTGTTGCTAATATTTTAGGTTTCTTCTATTTTCCAATAGGTTTCATATCAAGTTAGATAAAAAGGATTAATGAATGTTAAAGTTTTTTTTTTTTTTTTTTTTGTATTTACATATCTTGTACCACCCAGAACTTGCATAGCACATAAAAAATACAACTGTTTTAACTTTTAAAATGAGGAACATACCATTTCATGTATAAGGTGGCATATGTGTAAAAATTGAAGTTTCTGTTAGATATGTAAATTCATAAGAATTGGCTGGTACTTCTTTTGTGCGTGTGTGTGTGTGTAGCAAATTAGCTGATGCCAATCATGATATTCTTATCCTGCTGATAGTTAAGTTGGCACTGAAGCTTGTATCACCATGTTTCTATTTAAGTCAAGAAAAAGCCTTGCGACGTTTAGTTACCTTTTCTGCTCTGTGAAGAACAGACCAAATGCATGCAATAAATCGTAAGTTCGAGGATATGTATCAAATGGTTCGCACCTGCACATAACAGAGACTCATTAAAAACTCATTGGATGAGATGTATGGCTTAGAATAAAAATTTCACCATACGTTTAATGATAGCAATATGAAAATTTAAAGAAAATCTGGACGTTGGAAATGGGAATAACCATCTTGGCATTTATTTATTAGGAATTGAGAAGAAAACTAAGGGTGTGTGTGGGGGCAGTTGCCTGCTTCTTGGAGAATCAGCAGCTGTTTCTAATGAGAAAATTTGTTTTGCCCAATGATATAAATCTTTCAAATAAAAAAGAAAAAATAACCGGCGCTAAAATTTCTCCCCCAAAATGTTTCTTTGCACTGAAGAATAGGCAAGCGCAAGCAAATTGACCTATTAAAATCTGAACAGGTATACACAAAACAAGTCCAATAAAAATTATCTAAAAGACAAAAAAATAGCGATCATATATCTATCCTTCCATAACTTCTCCTGATTGATCAAGAGGTAATTAGATACTACTAATTTATCTGTCATGTACCATTCAAGTTTGCATCCGAATATAGACATTTCCAATGGTATAAATCTTTCAAATAAAAAAATATAATCATTGCTCCAATTTCTCCCCCCAAAATGTTTCTCTGTACTGAAGAAAAGGAAAGTGCAAGCATATTGACTTAGTAACATCAGAACAAGCATACAAAATACAAGTTCGGCAAAAATTCTCTAAAAAGATAGAAAAACACTGCTCATAACCCAATACAGAAGTCGATCGAGGCTATGAAGCAGAGATAAACCGAAAATGGAAAAAAAAAACCATAAAAAAAAAAAAACCTTCAATGGAGAAAGGCAGTTGGATTCGATGGCACCGACAACAGAGGGAAGCGAACGCAATTCGATTTCAGCCCGAACGACACTGGTGACAATTGGGGGGAGGGGGCCAGGGGTATTAGCAGGGATATAGGCCAAGTATTCTGCGAAATGAAGAGGGACAGCGATAGCAAAAACCATTCACAATTGAGCTTCCGGAGTGGAATGCAGAGCCCTCCCTTTGTTACAGCTTTCGCCGATCTGAGGCCCCCATCCGCGAAACACGCGTGAAAAACTTGCTCCCAAACGCTTGGTTCGCCATTCCGAAGATGGATGCCAAAAGAAAGGGCTCCCAAACCTGCCCCAAACCTTTATTCAATCATGACTTGTTTCAATAGTTACTACAACTTGAATAGGTGGTCAAAATTTCATTTGGAAACAATGAAGTCAAATAAACTACTCACATACAAACCTGAAACTACAAACACAGAGGATGTAATGTGGGTGTAAATGAAAAATTGATTTTTAAACATTATAATAGAGAAATATGCAAAAATTTTGTTTTGAATCAAAATGCACCCACTTCATAAAATTCGAATTATCGAGCAAGCATATAAGCAAGCCTTCGAGCAAGAAGTTGCTCGACTTTTTCTATTCCAAACACCTTCTCCGTCACCAATGATTGCCGTTCGTGTCTAATGGAAAATTTTCCCTCTCTCGTGTTAGCAATGTTATACATTTGGTTATGCGTGAAAACATCATTCACGCTCTATAACTTAAACCAAAAATAACATTATTTATCACAATACCTACTTCACATATTGATCAAACCTTGCTCGACGATTGATCTAATCTTGTTTAAACTTTCCAAAACAATGTTTGGAAAAATGTTCGATTAAATTAAAACCCTCTTTGAATAAGAACTGAACAAAGTTAGATTAAAGTTAAAATATGATTTGATGGTCCAACAAGCTCGATTATACGGATAACAAATTTTGAACATAGTTCGAGCAAATTTTAAGTACATTCGAATGAGATCAAATAAGGTTCAAATAAGTTTGAATAAAGTTTAATCATTATTCAAGTACGTACAAATTGTATAATTTGTCCTCACTATCTCTTGAAATTGACTTATTTGAGTTGTAAATTGTATGTAGAAATATGCTTTAATCATAACAATAGAAAGACATTACATTAGTCGGATCACATGAAGAGCTAGGTGTGTGATGAAGAAAATTATTAGGCAATCTTAAGCTAATGACCTCATTGAGTTTAACATTTGAGACAATAACACAATATTTGGCATTATATAATCTTTGTATTGATCAATATCTGACAAATGAGCTGTTGAAGTTTAATATAAACGTTAGCCTTTTGTAATAAAGTTTCAGTCACAAACAGAACAACTCACTATCATGTCCTATTACAACAACAACAACAACAAAGCCTTAATCCCACTAGGTGGGGTCGGCTACATGAATCCTTTTTCTCCATTCCGTCATATTTAGTGTCATATTTTCATTTAGTTCTAATAAATTAAGATCATTTTTTATATAATAAGCCCAAGTCTTACTGGGTCTACCCCTGCCTTTCTTAACATAAGTCGAATCTAAAACATATACTCTCCTAATCGGATCATCAAATGGTCGACCCTTATGTGACCAAACCATCTAAGACAACTTTCTCTAATTTTGTCTGTCATAGGAGCTACACTAACCCTTTCACGGATATAATCATTTCGAATTTTGTCTTTAAGTGTAAAACACTCATCCATCTAATCATTCTCATCTCGGCAACACTTAACTTAGTATTATGCTCATCTTTTAAAGGCCAACATTCAACGCCATATAGTATTGTAGGTCTCACCACCGTCTTATAAAATTTTCCTTTCAGTCTAAGTGGTATTTCAGTCTAAGTTTTTCCTTTCAGTCTAAGTGGTACTTTTCTATCACACAAAACGCCCAAAGCATTCCTCCACTTCAACCAACCAACTTGAATTCTACTATTAACATCCCCATCTATGCACCATCGCTTTGAACAACAGACCCGAGACACCTAAATCGTTCACACCTTTTAATAATTTGATCACTCAAATTTACACTCCTATCACTAGAGCTGCTGCTACTAAAATTACATTCCATGTATTCAGTTTTAGTTCTACTAAAATGAAGGCCTTTACACTCCAATGTAGACCTCCATAATTTAAGATTTTCCTGGGCTTTTTCTCTTGTCTTCTCCACGAGAAGGATATCATCGGCAAAAAGCATACACCAAGGAACATCCTCGAGTAAATGTCCAGCAGTAAGACCCCAGTAAGACCGTCCATAACTAAAGCAAAAAGATATAGGCTTAAAGTCGATCCCTGATGTAATCCAACAGAAATAGGAAAATATTTGGTCAATCCTCCTTCAGTTCGAACACAAGTAACAACTCTAGTATAACTTGAATATAAATCATTTCAACACCTTCTCAAGAACTCTATAAAGGATATCTCTTGGAACCTTATCGAATGGTTTTTCTAAATCAATAAAAATCAAATGTAGACTCTTCTTATTATGTTTGAACTTCTCCATCAAACTTCTCAATAAATGTATAGCTTCCATAGTAGACTTGCCCGACATAAATCCAAATTGATTATGAGAAATCTTTGTAATACGTCTTAACCAATGTTCAATTACCCTCTCCCATAATTTTAAAGTATGACATATCAACTTAATTCCTCTATAATTTGCGCACTCATGTGCATCCTCTTTATTCTTAAAAATGGGGACTAAAATACTCTCCCTCCACTCCTCAGACATCTTTTTACTTTTTAAAATAATATTAAATATTTTAGTAAGCCAAGAAACTCCCAAATCTCCTAGAAATTTTCATATTTCAATTGGGATATCATCAGGTCCTACAGACTTTCCACTTTTAGTTTTCTTTAAAGCCTCCCCAACTTCTTTTTTCCTAACGGTAAAAATGAAACGTTATATTATTATTAATGATATTAAGATAACTAAGATCGATCGTATTTTCAAAAACTTCATTAAAACATTTAGTTTTTAAAATAATATTAAATATTTTAGTAAGCCAAGAAACTCCCAAATCTCCTAGAAATTTTCATACTTCAATTGGGATATCATCAGGTCCTACAAACTTTCCACTTTTAGTTTTCTTTAAAGCCTACTTTTTGATTTTCATCTTTAATACACTTTACTTGAGTTAAATCTTTACTTTTCTTTTCTCTTTGTTTGGCTAGTTTATACATATATTTTTCACCCTCCTTAGTATCTACACTATTATAAAGATCATTAAAAGCAAAATTTTTAGCCTCACATATTGTCCTATTAGATGAGAATAATTTGAATCATGATGATTTTCAAGTGCTTGTACATTCACTTTCTTATTTGTAAGTTCTGCTAGTTTATAATGAATATTAGATTGTAAAAAATTTAATTCCAATGCTACCAATAGTACTTTTTTATATCCCTTTATCGTATTTGAACCTGATGATAACCTTGCTCAAATCATCCTTGAAATTCATTTAATTCCTATTAAAAAAATCTAAAAATATATATTTTAACAAAACTCGATCGTCGGAAAAATTGCAATTAGAACTGGCTTCAAATCGTATTTGAATATTGTTTAAACTAATGTCAGTTGTTGCGGACTCTAAATAAGTACTCCAATATAAAAAGTGGGGGCATTTTAATTTGAACAAAACTTCGGGCATATTTTCCCAAGAAAACAAGCAGGGATCATAATCTCTAATTTTGGATTTCATGGAGCACATAAAAATAAGTTTCAAAATAAACACACTTACATCTCATAGTAAGTCTCATAGTAAGACCTTCAAACTATGATCAAAATTGGCATCCCCTTAAATCCTGTTAACTGTAATACTATAAGCATTTTTAAGAATATTTTATTATCCATTCGATACATCATATTTTATGTACTGGTTGACTTTTGATCACATGAGAAGAAATCAGCATAAGATAAAGCTACAGATACATAAATGACCTAAATTTTCATAATGTAATTATTCTGACCATTAATGGCACATTATGGCTATGGAAATTAACTGAAACCTAAAACCGAGAGATAATCACTTCAAATTTGGTTGGGCACTTGAGTCAACTTTGATCACCCCGGTTGAGTTAATAACAATTTTGAGCTAAATTCAATTTTAATTTGTGACTCGTTCAAAGGAGTTTCAAGTTGACTCAAATTGTGAGTCAAAATGTCCATACACACTAAAACCAATAATATATAATATATAAGATTCATAAATTAAACACAAACACACGCCTCAATTTTTAAGTTTGAGCTGAGAATTTTGAATTCCAATTAAAAGTAAAAAAATTATAACTTTAAGTCGAGCAAAACTCAGCATGAATTCTACCAAATAACAAACTTATTTTGATTGGTGAAATATACGGGTAAAACTGTCATTTTTAATTGATTTCCATAAAGCACATCTTTATTTTACTTGACAAGTTTGATGTAAGATAAATCATTGTAAAGACTAATTAAACATTGACGCGTAAATAGTCTTAAGTTGTAGATGAAAACGAAAAGTGATTTTATGATTGAAGGTCATAGAATGTGGAAAACCTAAAACTAAACTTGAGAGGAAAATAATTATTTTTCTCTATAGTTTGTGTACAACATAAAATGAGAAATCATAGTTTATAATATTAAAATAATTTATAAAATTAATTGCAAATTTTATTTTATAATAATTTAGCAATACATTAAACTCAAAGTTGGCAATTGAATGAAAAATCTAAACAATATTATAAGTAATTGATGATTTTATCATGTAAGAATGTAAAATCAAATGATACATGATGAGAATTTATATTACAATAACAAAAATATAGAGCAATTATTTTTCTTTAAAAAAATGGTATAATAAATGGCATTAAACTATTTTCTATGAAGAAGTATTATACACCATCAAAATATTGATCTATGATTAATGGTTTGTAAAGTTGTACACATATGTCGACAAGCATAATCTTATGGTATGTTTTATGGTGTTAACATCACAAGCCTTTTTCTAGATTTAAATTTACTTTAGGGACGCTAATATCAAAAGTTACATGTCTAAACAATATATTGTGATTGGACTGGTAGTCACAAGCTTTAGTTAATTGACGATTATTTACTGTTAAAGGGAATAGATAATCCAAACCTTCTACTAGAAATTATGAATATAAATTCAGAATAAAAAAAAACTACGGAGCAAATTGAAATTCTGAGTATTTGTAACAAGATTGTATTGTGTCTGAGTAATATCAATCAAATGAATAATCCAATCATAGAAATTGAAAAACAAGAATAAAGCCAGAGGCGAGCATTCGCTAAAAGCAAGCCCTATGCTTAAACAAAAAGATAACCTATCTCAAAAATCCTTTAAATCCCTTACTTGAGTAAGGAGAAGAACACTAAAAGTAATAGCGCATCCAAGTAAAATTTTATTGAAAATAATATTGATTGAGCTTTGCAAATGCCACAAACTCTTATTTATGACCACAAAACCCCTTTGAAATCTCTATAAGATAAAATTAAAAAAAAAATCTATATCAGAGTCGCAAAAAATAGAAGAGAAAAAATGACTGGAACGATCTTCAACATAAAAGAGAATACATGCCGTAGAGAAGATCAAAAGAGAACATAGAAAAATGCAGCATAAGACAGCAAATCTTGCTCTCACTATTAGTATGACAAGGAAGAACAAGAGAACATCACCAGTATCACAATGAAGCCGGTCAATCATTGCTAGAAATGGATACCAACAATAACAGCACACACAACAAAAATAGTTCTGTCAGCTTAAAAAAAAAACAGAGAGAAACAAAAAAAAAATAATAAAAATCATAAAAGAGTAATAGCTGAAGGTCATAGAAGCACCAAAGAAATCATGGGAACAGGATATGCTACTGGAGGTCATAGGAGGAGTGGGAACAGCTAACTAGAAAATGAGTTCAAAAACCTAAGGAAAAGGAATGGAGAAGGATTCACGCTAATAATTCTAAACTTTAAGAAACTCGAGTCAGATGAACGTTTAGTGGATATTTGTAAAGAAGATCGGTCAAAACATTTTTTGTAGAAAAATCCATGAATCATCATTTGTAACCCATCTTTCCAGTGCATAAGTAATCTTTGATATCTACCATCAGCAGAAGATATATTTCATCTCCAACAATAGCTCTAGGAACAAGTTTGAGATCAATGTCAAGAGCTATATAGATGATGTGTCCGATAAGAATATTAAAGGAAGAGAAGGAAAGAAAAAAGAATACAAAGTATAAGTTTATTCATGATATAAAATAATATTTAATGCATTAACAATTGGATTAATGATAAAATTTTCTTATATTTCTAACTTACAAATTATTCCCAATAATTTGAATAAACTTATATAACACAAATTTATAGTTGTTAACTTCTTAAGAATTCTCATAGGAAACATGTATATGGTTTAGACGGAACAATATCTTCTCACTTTATTTTGAATTGCATATTTCTCAAATTCACGTCTTTAGCAAACTTATAATCATTCTAATTAATAGTAAGTTTTATATGGATTCTGTCGTGTAAACCACAACAAGATATGACCAATGGATGATGCAACAAGTAATGATGCATGTAATGGTTATGCAAATATACTTATGTGCATCTATATAAATACATTGTGGCTAACTTTAAGAAAGAAAATAATAGCCGAAACATAAAAACTTACATTTATGGATTCCACTGAAGCAATCTAAGGAATTTGCAAATACATCAATGATAAAAAACTTACAATGTAAAATGGAATCGGAACTTCGAAAAACATTGGCAAACATAACAAATTCATAACATACCAGTCATGGGCAACTCCTATAAGTCCACGATCATATATCAAAGGCAATGTGTTGGGACCACTAGTGGGAACAACATTCATCACCCAGCTATCAAGCTGGTTATCAATCATTGCCGCAGCAAACCTGCCATGAAAATAGACAACAGTAAGTAACAATTCTCTGACATGAACAATAAATGTGACAATTTAAAAATGTTTTATTCACAAATTGACTAAAAAGGATAATTTGGATATTGTAATCTATATCTATATATATATATATATATATATAATCTAGTACTTTTGTGAACATATTTCGCTTTGCCGAATTGAACGAAAGAAAAATTTCATGCCATGTTCATACAAATGTATCAAGTAAAAAAGATTTATACTGTGACTGCATGCTCTGTTTGGTATGCATGATTTCAACCAGAAGGTTTTCTTTTGAAGCTAGAATCTCAATTCACAATGTCCAGCTTGCTGCCTAGTTAGACAAGCACGCAAAAGAGCTATCATAAACCCAAAACAGACCAACAGCAACTTGCATGTCAAAAGAATTCAAATTAATGCCACCACCCCACCAACTAAAATCATAATCATCTTCAAGTCACCAATGTTAATGCAAAATGCAATTTGAATTTCATGTTATTTTCTCAAATAGTTTTTTTTCTTTTTAAGCCTTCGCCAAATCTTTTTTATAAATGCTTGGCATGAAGACTGCATCCAGTTAATGAGAAAACTAAGGAAATAATAGTATGTACCCCCCAAATCCAGCTCTCATGTCCATAACATTCCGCAAGTTCAATTTTTTCCAGTGAAAAGCACTGACGTAGCTTCCCACAACTTCATCCCAAAAGGAGGTCTCCGCTTTGAACAGCTCATTTTTAGCAATGTTAGCATCCATTAATAGATTCTGAAGCCTTTGTGGCGGTACATGCAAACGAGCAGGCCAGGATGGCACATTACTCCCGAAACCATTCTCCGGCAGTCTGGTAATGCATTTTTTCAGATTAACATACCTGAAGAACAAAATAACCATAACAATAATTTGCACTAAGTTGCTCAAAATTACAACAATTCCTGGTATGTAATGTAATACAGCTTTAAGTAAGACAAATATACCATAGCATTCGATCACATCATATTATAAAAACAGACCATAACATCCCATAAGAACATGCGACAGCCTCACTACTTTATCAATGCCCTAACTTGCCAGAAATATTACTATTTCTTCAGTTGTGACTAACAGTATGTCAAAAAAAGGGATAATTACATAAAAACCACCCAAAAACATTTATATTTATAAATTAGCCATCAATGCAATTATTTTGAACTACCGAACCAACATATTTATGTGTTCCATTATCAAACTATTGAGAATTTGATAAAAATGAAAAATATGGGTTGGACTTTTCCCATGAATTTTGATATTTGAGTCAGAATTTTAAAATTTCATGAAAGAGGGTTGTTGATCTGTAAATAAGAAGTTTTGGGTGGTCTGTATGCAATTGCCCCAAAAAAGAATCTAGCTATTCAATTCTTAAATCATCAATGTTTCATTTTTATGTAAGTGGATATAAAAAATTTTGAACACAAGGAATACGTTTTTTCAGTAATAAAAGAAAACTTTTCTTGAGAATTATTTCATGTAAGCAGAATGTCAGTGAGAGATTATGGTGAATACCAAACACTATCAGGGTTATCATCAGGATTGCATAATGGAGGTCGTACTGCAGCATCCCGATTGATGTAGCAAGTGTTATTCAGAGGTTTACGCCATAAGGCAATATAACCTTCCTTCTTCACGAGTACCCAACAAATACGTGCTGTCAGGTCCTCCATCTCTGTTAAAGGATACATGCATACAATGTGAATAGGCTACCTTTAATTTTCGAGTATAAGAGATAATACATTCAATGTAAATTTTTTTTCTTAAAGGAAAATCTCAAAGCAGAAGTTACCTTTCCAAGTTTCTTGCTGTGCTTCTTCATGTTTATAAACTGGCTGTGCTGCCCAGGCAAAGTATCCCCCAGCTCTCAGCATTCTGTTGGCTTCCAGAAGCAAGATTCCATCTTCATCATATTTAAGAAAACTAATCAGTGTGGCAGAGCCAAGAGAGTTCAGAAACTCCCATTCTAAGCAGAAGCTGCATTTTTGGAACAAAACAGTCTCAAAATAATTTAAATAGTTTTTTTTAATGCAGGATCACGACCATAATAGAAGGATTGAAGCCTACAATCTACAGTAGCTGAATTCAAGGACAGGTTTTAAATCATTTTGAGCAGCTAAATAATGAGCATAGCTATTGCAATCACCTTCTGAGCACAAATAGCCAAGTATAATTCAAGATTGTTGCAGCAAGATACAAAAGTTGGCCAACTAAAAAAATGGCAAGTTATAAAAAGGTGTGGCAAACATAACCAACTAACCCTTTCAAAGAAAAAAAATGGATAGTTAAGTATTTACTAGCTCAAAATTTTGCTTGTTTTCATTAGGACATTAAGCGGTATAGAAAGTACACCTTAAATCTAACAGCAGTTGAAGAAAATAGTAGAGCATATTAAAGCACTTGCAGATCATAAGAAATTATGATCATTAACCTTATCCCAACACTTGAGGTCAATTTTACAAAATCATAATTATTCATTCGTTACTATTTAGTGATATCTAAGGTGTTGAATCTATTCTTCACAAATTATTTTGAATAATTTCTATTCATCTTGTCTAAGGTCTACCCATTATTCTTTTTGGAAAATTTTTGCCTAGAAACCTTAAGAGTGCATTAAATTCATTTTTTTTCTGTATTCTAAGTTTTCTTGGTATTTGTGGTAATCTGAGAAAAAATTATTTTATTTATTGGTACACCCTAATGCACTACACCTTATTACACATATATAATAGTGTGATTGGCATACCAATCCACAAAATAAGAAATTGTAATCCTTCCAAATTAGGAATCCCGCCCAAATAGAAAAACAGATAAAATTAAAATATCTAATAAAAGGAAACACAACCATTGAAATATATCCTAAGGGGGGAAAATAAATTCATTCCTAAACAAATATGCAGATTGGCACTCTCCTACAATCTCTCCTCAAACAGGGTTGTATATACTTTGCAGATCAAGCTTGGACTTCAACTCAACATAAATGACCCTTGTTAGTATTTTGGTGAAAATGTCAACAATCTTAAGTCATGTTTAAACATAACATAATTGAACAATTCCATTGTTAACTTTTTCTAAGATGAAACATCGATCAATCTCGATATGATTTATTATGTCATCTTGCAGCTAATAGATGTTTGGCTATCACTGAACATCATTGCGTCTTTTGTCTCAACCTTAAGGTTCCTAAATTGTCTTTGAATTCACATTCCCTCACATATTCCTAGTGCAAGAGCACGAGTGCTCAAATTCTACACTGCTCTAAAAGACAACCATTTGCTTATTGTTTCTATAGATGATAAGATTTTCCCGGACTTATGAACGACATCCAGTGGTTGATTTTTTATCATATACCTCTCCTGCCCAACTGACATTTGTATATACCTCTCCTGCCCAACTGACATTTGTATATACCTCAATCTCATAGTTTTCAGAACTTTTAAAATGCAAATCATATCCAAGGGTAATCTTCAAATATCTCATAATTATGTTCTCGACTTCCAAATGATCATCACTAGAATCATTCATGTGTTGGCTTACTACACTGACTGAGTATAAAATATCAGGTCTTGTGTGTGATAGTTAATAGCTTGCCCGCAAGTCTTCGATATCTTCCTTTGTTAACTGGATTGCATTCTCCACTTATATTCAACCTTTTGCTCGAATCTATAAGTGCATCGGCGACTTTACACCCAAACATATTAGTTTCGCTTAACATGTCTGTCGGTCAACTTTTCGATCGATTAGATTTATTTGAAAAATAGGATATATGAAAATAATTTTTTTAGATTTAATTTAAGTATAAAAGATATATAGTTTGAGTTTTAAAAGTAGTATATTTTAATTTTTGAAAAATGAGATCAAATGGATCTCATTAGTCTGGTAGTTTGCATAATCGTGTCTGATACCGCGAATACTACACCTTCCCGAGAGATAAGTGTAGACCTCAGCGATAGACCCAATACTGCAAACTAAGAGATTTGTGACATCCGTTTGGTCTGCGAACCTTTTAT